AAGGTATCTTAACTAGGAAATGAAATCAGAGGCCTCTGTTGGAGGGAGAAGGCAGTCGGGGATACTTGCATCTCACTGAATGCTAACAAATAAACAAAAGCAAGAATTGTGATTACTTTCACTCACCCAAAACGCAGGTTACTCAAAACAAGAGAAATGCAAACCAAAGCTGCCCTGAGATAACACTCATATATCAGACTGGCAGAAACCAAGCCGTACGCTGGCAAGGTTCTCCAGGGAGCAGATATGGCTTGGTGGCAGGGTCTGCACCAGGAGTGCCTGTGGAGGAGACAGGCTGGGGGAGGGGGCGGCATGTTGGCACTAGGAACCTCAACAGAAGGCACAAAGGAATTCAAAGAGGTTTTTGGTTTTATTTTTCCAAAAGAGTAGAGGCAAGCCGACACATCTCTCCCTACAGCTAAAACTCACCATCTTCAGCTGGATTAGCAAGCAGATGACCCCTGGGGTTCTTTCTGTCTCTCCCTCACCCCCACCCCCACCGGGATCACAAGCACACTACACTCAAGCCCAGATCTTTTACATGAGTTCTGGGGATCAAACTTGGGCCTTCATGCTTGTAAGGCAAGCTCTTTACCAACTGAGCCATTGCTCCAGCTTGGAGCTATATTTCAGAAAATGATTTAACATCAAACTCCCTTATGAAAGGCCCAATAAGACAAAAGAACAGCAGCCTTCTTTAGATGAGCCACTAAGGGAGCAGAGGGCCAAGGTCCTCCTGCCTTCTGTAAAACCTAGAAAACTACAAAGCAGCGGGGTAGGAGCAGCCAAAGTCTGGAGCATGCCCACTAGACTGTGCAAACACCAGAGAAACAGCCCCATGACTGCGAGATGAAGCCCTCCCTTCCACCCGGCCTACAGCCCCTCGGCAGCAATGCATGGCAAATGCCGCTGGACCTGTTTCCACACTCAGCAATAAATCTTTTTCAAAAGAGAAAATGGGGAGCCACCTGTCATTTCTAAGAATTCATGTAACAAGACATGCTCCGAGGCAGACCCAACTAGCACAACACTTCACTTCTAGGTCTCTGTAATTTTTCTCAGTCTAATTAATGCTAGTGAGACAGGTCTCATTACTATGGCCTCATCCATAATAAAACCCATTTTGTGCCCTCCATTTCATCCGATCTAAGATGCACTTGGAAGATCACTTTGAAGGTACATCATTATATATATTTTTTCTCCCACTAAGGAAGAAAAATACTTAGCCAATTAAACTAACTCAATGGCTTAATTAACCACAATCAAATTGTGAGTCAGTCACACCAGGTTCTTAATGAAGTGAAATTTCTTTCACCTACTCAAAGAATTCGGTAATTTTTACTACCTTCAAATGCACTTCTTATGTGACAAGAAGTTACTTTGCAATGTTTTGGTGACCACATGTCCTGGCTAATTTTATGTCAACCTGACATAAGCTAGAGAGTTATCTGAAAGGAGGGAATCTCAATTGAGAAAATACCTCCACAGGATCCAGCTGTAAGACATATTTGCTTATTAATGATCAGTGGGGGAGGGCTCAGCCCACTGTGGGTGAAGCCATCCCTGGGCTGGTGAACCTGGGTTCTAAAGGAAGCAGGCTGAGCAAGCCACTAAGCAGCACCCTCCATGCCCTCTGCATCAGCGTCTGCCTCCAGGTTCCTGCCCTGTCTAAGTTCCTATCCTGCCTTTCCTTAGATGATAAACAGCAACATGGAAGTGTAAGCCAAATAAACCTTTTCCTCCCCTGTTAGTTTTTCAGTAATTGTTTAACAACAGACATCACCAACCTTTGGTAATAAAAATATAATTTAGTTTCATTTCTGTAGACATCCTCTTTCAAATAAGATACTGTAAATACCTAATTGTTGCTTTCCAAAATAAATGCACTAATTATCCAACTTATTCTTGTCTGTTCTGTGTTCACACTTTCTGTGTTTACAGTAACTTATTTTTTTTAAGTATTTGTACAAATTTTTTACTTTATACAATATTCTGCCTGCATGTGTGTAAACAGGCCAGAAGAGGGCACCAGATCTCATTATAGATGGTTATGAGCCACCATGTGGTTGCTGGGCACTGAACTCAGGACCTTTGGACTTCTGAGCCATCTCTCCAGCCCAGATCCTAACTCATTTTAATGCCAGGTCACAGTATACATTTTGGAGAAAGTTGAAATGAATACGGATCACACCAAAAGCAGATCTAACTCGGCAGCAGTAATGTCGACATGGACAGTCATGGCAAAGCTCTCACACATGCAGGGAATGACAGCCCCTCACAACCACTGCCTGCCCAGCTGAAACTAAGATGCTGCTGGTCATGTGAGGTACCTCAACTCCAGAGATGATAACATCTGAAGATATGTTTTCAGACCAGCAAAACATGGCCCTCATCCACAGAAATTATCCAGTGGAAGGGCTGCTGAGGAAGACCATGAAATTCCTTGATTAAAATGTAGACTGCATCATGCACACGCATGTGCCAGGTAATTCTTGCCAGATTTTCTTCACTATCCAGGAAAAAAGGTCAAAACAACAAGTCTCAGAAAAGAAAGAAGTATCATTTTGGCACATGGCCAGGGGAGGTTGGCTGGATAAGGTAGAATCAGAAGGTAGATCCCACAGATCTCCGATTTTAAAAACTAACCAACAAGAGCGCCACCCCTCTTTGCATGTTCCCCACCTCTCTGATGCATCCAGGAGAGTACAGCATGGTGTCTATATGCACTGACTGCCATCATGAATGGCAGTCCACCCTCTCTCCTGTAACAGGGCCCCAGACCTTAGCACAACTGACACCATGATAGAAGTGCCATTCAGGCTGTAAAAAAAAATCAACACACACAGCACCACAAGGGTCCACTCCATCAAAGTCCATACAGTTCTGGAAAAGTCTCAAAATGTACTAATCTTGCTTTTTAGCTTCTGAAACTCCACTTCTGGCTAACTGTTCTTGTTAACTGATGTATGTAAACTTAGAACATAGTTTCTGTGCCGGCCAGCTAATAAAGACTTCCTATTGGCTTAACCCATGCCCATGCAGTCTTGTCTGGTGGACACCCACAACACCTGCTACTCTGCTGTTCACATCCCCCTCCCCTCACAGTCATCAGGTCTAAAGCCCCCCACGGGTAGACAAGTCTTCATGCTAAGTCAGCACCAAGACCTAGAAAATAAGTAATCAAATAATGGGTAAATCTTCTACAGAGAAAACACAATCTTCCTACAAAATTTGGAATCTAGAAATTTAGGGAGAAATTTAAATTCATTTTCTGTTTATTTTCAATAAGTTTTAAGCCTCTAAACTCAGTCTGTTGGTTTTAACCACTAAGACTCCCTCAGGCAAACTTTAAGGCTTAAGCCCTACATTTAGCTCCTTCTTCATGATAAGAAACTGATATGGATCAATCTTATCAAACTGAGTCATAACTTCATGACCTGAACAATCTGGATGCCTGCCTTGTTCTCACTGCAGATGGGTGCTTCTTTACCCATAAATACTTCAGTTGACTTTTTTTATAATGGTTTTTAGGGACAGGGTTTCTCTATATAATTTTGGCTGTCTTGGAATTTGCTCTGTAGACCAGGCTGGCCTTGAACTCCACCTGCCTCTGCCTCCCTGAGTGCTGTGGTTACAGGCCTACACCAGCATGCCCAGCCAGATTCAATTAAAAAAAAAAAAAAAAAAGACATTCTCTGACATAGTTAAAGATAAATGTCAAAATCATTCAGTGGCAGAATACGATTATCTGGTTATAAACTTTGCTCAAATTTTTCCAGCTGTCCTATTCTTTGTCCTCTGTAACAGAAAACAAAAAACAAGGAACTCTAGATCAGTTTTTCACTCACCTCTTTTTAGCCTCTAATCCAGAGTGTTCCCTCTGTCCTCTATGATTCTCATCTTTTTGAGTGTACGGCTGGCTACATTGTTACATGAATTTGGCAAGGCTCACATGAGGCTATACTGAGGTGCCACAAACTGAACCCTTGAATGTTTCCACAACATTCCACTCAAGCTGTGAGAACATTGAGGAAGGTCTGAGCTGTATGTCTCAGCCCGCTCAGTGGTCAGTTTCTCCCATCCCTGGTCCTGAGACTGCTAGCTCTGCTGAAGTCACGTTCATGTCCCCTCTCTGGGAGAGTTTGTCAACTGTAAAGCTACTGTTTCCTTTGGCAATTGAGAAGTATCTTCTGGGAAGATTTTTTTTCCTATTGGTTTTTAAAAAGATTTTTTCCCTTAATTTTCTGCTTCTCACAACTTTCTAAATGCAGTATTACAGTTCTTTTATCCATTTTCTACCTGGAATAACTGCTGTTATGAATATCGAGTTCTCTTAGGAACAGACTTATACCAGACTCCAGGGAAAAACCAAGAAGAGAAGTCAGACTCCTGACTCTGTCACGTGTGAGCTCCGCATGCTCTGCAGGGCAGGTGAGCACTGTGCCGAAAACAACGATGATCCAGTATCACTGTGGCTTTAGGTCTAAATTCCCGTACTTGAAATATAAATAACACTACTTCAAAAGTAAAAACATATATACATTCAGTTGCAATAATGCAAAAAACTTAAAACATTTTTCTTTAAAATACTACAAATGGCTGTGTTTGTTTGTTTGTTTGTTTGTTTGTTTGTTTGTTTGTTTTTGGTACCTTTGACCTCCTGGCTGCTGCACCTGGCTCCCCTTTGTCCCCTCTTCCTTCCCTTCTCCTACTCTGCCCACATGGCCCATCTCTGTCTGGTTACGTTCACTCTGGATTCTCCCAGACCTCCCTGCCACTACTTATACTCTCTCTTTTATCTATAATAAACTTCCTCCTCCACCATTAAAACAAAAAACAGCAACAACAAAGAAACTTCAAATGAGAAGTCCCCAGGTGAACTTCCGCCCCTCCCCTGCCTTTACTCAGCACTCTTCCTTTAAAGCTGCTTGCTCCAAGGCACTTGGGGAATCCTGCAGGAGATGCGGCTACTTAGCCTGAGGTTTCGTCAGTGGTCCTACCTGCTGTGGAAAACAGGTGCGGGCGGCGTGTTCCGTGTAACCAAAGGACGGCCCTTCAAAGACAGCTGTTGGGAGCTTCAGGGCTTCCTTCAGAAACTGGTCAAGCTTGCCAAATATCATTAAGCCACTGGAGTCTGACATCTGGGAGAAAATGTCTGTAAGAACAAAAGCAAATAAAGCCAAACTATAAGAAAATATGGCCTCTTAAAAATTACAAATGGCTCTGTTATTTCTATACCACTAAAAATGCATCATTCAAAAGTACCACAAAAATCACAATTTTCATTTAACATTCACATTCTTATTATTATTATTATTAACACTGTGTAGTTACTTTGCTCACAAGGCCCCTCAGTCCTATACACTCAAAATTCTATCTAAACATTAAGTGGAAAAAAATCATCCATGTATGTCCACTGACATTTCTAAAAGATTGTTTTAAGGAGGGAAGAGGTTGTACATACCAATGCAGTGCCCACAGAGGTCAGAGGAGGGTGATGGGACCCCTGGAGCTGAAGCTCCAGGCTGTTGTGAGCCACCTGCTTTAAATGTGGAAAATCAAATCCAGGTCTGCAAAAGCAGCAAGTGCTCTTAACTGCTGAGCCATCTCTCCAGCTCCATCTACAGACTTTCTAAGTCAGTGCAACTGAAGGACAATTAGCTTTTATTTATGCAACCCACTCTTCCAAGAAGAATTTGAAGCAGCATGCCTTTACTCCTTAGTATCTGTGTTTATAAGACACAGACACAGCACATAGAAGGCAGGAGAATGAGACTATACAGCAATTTCAAGACCAGCTTGAACAATGAGACCCTGTTTCCTAAACAAACAAGAGCAGAAGAGCCAGAACACAAGCTGGTCTGCAGTGAGACAGTCTCTCCTAGAAATGGCTGCATAGACAAGACCAGAACAATGGCAATACCAACGGGCGTATCCACATGGAAGGTGAGAAACTTCACCCGGTCCTCCCCCTGGGAAAAGCAGCCGCCTCTCCCAGGGATGAGTCCCCTTATGGGCTGTCCAATGCAAAGTGGTCAGCTCTGAAACCGTATGTATGCGAACAACAAAAACAGACTCAACAGGTTGTGTTTATATATTTGTGCACACATATATACACATATATGCATTATATAACAGTAATAATCAAAGAAAAGGAGGCTATCAGCTTGAAAGCTGAAGGCACATGGGACGGCGAGAAATGTCTCCCATATGCTCATGGATCAAACACTTGATCACCAGCTGGTGATGCTATTTAAGAACATTATGGAACTTTTAGGAGGTAGATATTTGTTGGAGAAAGCAGGTCTCTAAGAGCAGGCTTAATGATTTTATAGTATGGCCTCACTTTTTTTAAGATTATAATATAATTATAACATGTCTCCCTTCCTCCCATACATGCCCCTTGCTCTCTTTCAAATTTATGACCTCTTTTTTCATTGTTATTAATGCATACATATGTATATGTAATGCATACATATCCTAAATACAACCTGCTCAGTCTGCCATGTTTTATATGTATGCATGCTTGTATGTATGTTTTCAGGACTGAACATTTGGTATTGGATAACCAATCGGTGTATTCTCCTCCAAGATGGACTGTTTCTCCCATTCTCGGCATTCCTTGGTTGCCTGTAGTTCTCTGTGTAGACCTGAGGCCATGTGGGCTTCCCCCGTCCACTCTGGCGTATCTATTGGTGTATCATTACTCAGCTCATGTTTAGTCAGGCAGGTTGGTGCGACTTTATGGGTGTATCTGTTGTAAATTTGGTGCTCCACCAGCCTCCTTTCAGTGACACCACCACATACGTTCACTGTCACCAGAGTTATGCACAGGAACATGCACCCCGTTAAAAGGCCCCAGCTACCCCACATCAATCTCTCTGTCTCCTGGTCTGTCTGTCTGTCTCTATCTCTCTCTCATGTTCCCACTCCTAGACGGCCTTTGGCTGTCTCCCCTCCCCCAGTAAGCCTCTTGTGCTGCATTTGTGGCATGATGTAATCTCTTAGCTGCACACCTTGGGCCTTGGACCACAAACACCACGGCCCCTCCTGGGCTCTAGCATATATATGCCCTCTCAAGAGTCCCTAGAATTCCAAATGTCATACACTTCCAAAAACTATCTGCATCTGGCAAACTCATGCTCCTGCCAGAGCAGGAGGCAAATCATAGTCAGCTGCTGTTGATAACCTGAAGCAGACCATATCACACAACTGAGATTAAAACAAAAACCTATTCCCATAACATTTCTGTGTTTTTAAAGAAACCAAAATCCTCACTACACACCCCTTTACCCTCCCCCCCCACTTCTTTTTTTTTTTTTTTTTTTTTTCCTAGACAGGCTTTTTCTGTGTAGCCTTGGCTGTCCTGGCTAGCCTCAAACTCACAGAGATCTGCCTGCTTCTGCCTCCCTGAGTGCTGGGATTAAAGGCATGAGCCACCATGCCTGGTCATTCCCCCTTTCTATTTTAAGTCATTAATTGTGCTGTGTTTAGTGAGAAATTATGAACAGGGATATTTTAATGAACTAAATACTTTTTGGGTCAGTGGCCAAGGCTTTCAAGAGACCTCTCCTGCTCAGTTCTAATCTTTGCGTTGATGGTATCCACAGCTTTTCACTTTCTGTGGAAACAAACAAAACTGCATCCCCAACACAAAACTATTGCATGCTTCCATTCTGATGTTAGCCTTATGGTATATAAGCTGATTTAATTCCACGGTTTTTCTATAACCTGGTGACTCTCAGCTGCTCTTGTCTGAAATGGCCCAAAATTTCTGATGTTGCATCTCAAGCCCCCAAAGCTGTTTTCCAGTGGCAAGAAATCGCCTTGGATATCATCTCTGGTGGCCCCACACCCATTGGTCTAGTGGCAGCCCTTACCACATCATCTGCATATCCCTGGAAACCTAGGTCTTCTGACTTATATTTAGAAAACCCACTGCTGTTAGAAAAAGCTTTTCAAAGCTGTTCACGTTTCAAAAAAAAAAAAAAAAAAAAAGAACAATGAGGTAGAAGCAGGATACAAGCATACAAGCGGGATTAAGAGCCACAACCAGACAAAAAGAGTCCAAGTGCCCCTGACAGAGATTTATAGCTGTGTCTTCATTTGTTGGTAGCTAAGGAGCTGGTTCTGAAAGAATCATCCTGACTAGGGCAGAACACTGACACTGAGGAATAAACGCAGTACTTCTGCTATTAGAGAAACTCTGAAACACAAAATCAAGTTGAATTTGATTTTAAAACGTTTAAGTGGAGATGAAGTGTTTAAAGGCTACCTCTCGGGATTAGACAGCTAACGGCTGTGATGAAGAGAAGCCGGATATACAAAGGAGTACGGATTACAGAATTGGTGGCCAGTGCTGGGCAAGGGGGATCACGACATTTCAATCATTTCAAATGATCAAGACATTTCAGTGTTAGGCCCTGCACAGGATGAAAGAATAACCTGACTGAAATAAGCAAACTGGAGAGTAACACACACCAGAGCAGGAAGATGGAAGAAACTGGAGTCTCGTGATACCCGCAGGTCACAGGACCAGGTGAACTTAGCAGCCTCTGGACTTATTTCTACATGAGGAATATAAACTCCAATGTATTTTAAATCACTTATTAATCCAGTTTTCTGTTACTACTAAATGTATTCACAGCTAATAGACAATGAGTAACTCACAACCATTAACAGAAGAAGCAGGACTAGAGACTTTAGCTGCCACATACATACAGGTGTACAATATCATAATCACAGACATGTTTATAACACCCATGTTGACAAGTCTACATCTAATTCACTCAAAAACATAAAGAGAGAAAAAAAAACAGAGAATCACGTGGCTAGCCACACCCACAAAAATTTATTACTTTCAGTTCCACTCAGTTACTATGTCTTGTTGAATGGACTCAAAGTAGTAGTTTTCTAATCATGAAAAAGGCACAGATTATAAGAGGGAGAAAAGGAACACGCTTGCTTTAAGAGAAATACAGCTATATTTGATAACTGAAGGCATAATGAGGTAACTCATTACTTCTTGAGTTACTGGTTTAACTAGTGATTTTTTTTTTAAATAGGCTTCTCTTATCTGAAGAAAAGTGGTGCAAAACTAAGCTGATTTTTAAAATCTATAAAATCTATAATGAAGCATAATAAGTAATGGATCTAAGTTAGGGTAATATACTACTTGCATATAACAATGCTTAAAGAAGCAAATAACATTTAATAAAAATATCAAGAACAAGGGCTTGGTGGTGATGGAGGGCATGTAACAGGTGTGAGACCACAGGTTTCACTCTGAGCACTGAAAGAAAAAGATATATTAGTTTTCCAATTAAAGCCCCATCTCTTTCTGGCATACAGGACGAACTTTCTATTTATAAGCTCTGAAAGAAAGTGTGCCAGTTCCCCAACAGTTGATCCTAGATGAAATAAAAGGGGGGGGGGGGGGAAGCAGGCTTTATCCCCTGTGGAAAATCCAATATTGAGCGCTTCAATGTACATGTCTCATCCAGCTTCTAAAATATGTGTTCCCTTGTGTAACAGGCACAATACTACTGACCTACTATCCGCACGTTTCATTTCTGTTCCTAGTGATAATGGCCCTGATTTTACTGACTGCCTATATCTGTCTCCTCCTGTCACGAAACCCATGACCCACCACAGGCTTCTGCAGGGCGACAGGGCTGTTCAGACTAAAGGGACAAGTCTATTAATGGGCAGCCATTTTCCTTTTACATGAATGTTCCCTGGCAAAAGTGACTTCCAACTCCTGCCATCTTTCAGCCTACTGGGTGACTTAACCCAGAAAATCATGTACACACATCTGTCTGTTTAGAAGCACACCCCATAACCAGGCACACAGAATTCTTCTATTTGTTAAAATTCCATGTCACTGATGAAGTCAGGAGGAGAGGGGGGCTCCTCTGAAGCTTTTGCTAACTCAGCCACACCCACCTTACAGAGAGTTCTTGGCCTCTGTGATGGCTGTCAACTTGGTTTCAACTTGACTACATCTGGAATTAACTAAATCTGAAGGGGCTGGGGACACCTGTGAGGGTTTGTTGTTGTTGTTTATTGATTAAATCTTTGAAAATGGGAAGACCCGCTTTTAATCTGGATTTTCTGAGGTGGGAAGACCCACCTTTAAGATCTGGGTGGCACCTTCTCATGGCAGCCCATATGAAAGACGTGGAAGGAGGAAGCTTCTCTTTGCCTGCTTCTTCTCACTCTTGCTGTCAAGTCCACTCCTTCACTGGCATTACAGCTCACTTCTTCAGGATTCTGGCATAAAGACCAGCTGAGGCAACCAGCCTCATAGACTGAACAACTACTAGATTCCTGGACCTTCTGTTGGTAGACAGCCATTTTTGGGCAGGCTGGACCACAGCTTGTTAAGTCATTCTAATGTGTGTGTGTGTGTGTGTGTGTGTGTGTACACAAGTTCATTCTAATGTGTGTGTGTGTGTGTGTGTGTGCTCTGTTCCTCTAGAGAAGCCTAACCACAACAGCTTCTTAGTTTTTGTTTTTCACTTTCCTAGAGTTCATAAAATATAGATTTCTTACTTGCTTCTAGTTCTAAAACATCCCAGTAATTCCAAAAATGCAAAACACAGGTGTTGCTGATACAGATGAAAAGAGAAGGCAGGGTCTGGCCAGCAGACACGGTGAGGGTGGAGTGACAGGTGATCACAAACCCAGGAAAAGGAAGCAGAACTCTGAACAGGGAAACTGTCGACTGAAGCCTCAGAGGCCTCTCTAGCGTCTGTTAATGAGACACCAGAAGCAAGCAACTGAAACAGCGGTGAGAAAAGTCAGTTCTGAGCAAACACAATAGGAAGTACCTCAGGTTAACTTTTTCACTCAGAACGTAGTTTTTTGTAGTCATGAAAAAGATAAGTCATACAAACTGGCACTATTATAAATGCAATGTGCTCAACCAGGGAAAACTGTTTTAGCATTCTGATGTGTTTGGACTGTCTAAGAATCCCAAAGCCTAAGAGTTCTAGGCTTCATTGCAAGACTCACAATCTCAAAAACTAGGAATATAAAAAAATAAGTGAGTTCTGTTTGTTTGTAACTTGAGATACCCCTGATTACTCCTTCACAGGTCCACTGAAAGATAAAAGCATTTGTTGGTCTTCCCTGTACGTCTGTTACACTGCTCTATAATAACACCAGCTTTTAAATAAATAAATAAAGTAAGTGAACCATTTGCCACTTTTCATGTGACTAGAAGGGGTTTTCCTTAGCAAAGCATCCACTAACTCTGCTTTGGCAGGTGCGGTTTCAGTCTGCAGGAGCTGCCCCACTCGGGTTGCTGACGCTGAGTTTGGATCACACTTTAACTAAAGTCTATACTCTGATTACAAGTCATTGGCACTTAGAATCCTATGAAAACTACCTTTCAATAAAGGAATACAGCCTTAAAGACCACAACAAGGGACAGCTCTATAAATGTCTTAGAGACATAAACACTCAAAAGCATTTCTGAAAAATCTGACACACTTCACACCCAAAACGCAAATGTTCGTTAAGTCATTTAAAATGCTATTTTGATATTAAAGCACATCAAATTTAAAAGATGAAGGGAGGGCTAGAGAGATGGCTCAGCAGTTAAAAACATCAGAAGACCTACATCAGGTAGCTCACAACCTCCTGTAAACCCTGCAGCAGATCCAACGCCATCTTCTGACCCATGCAGGCACCTGTATGAATGTGGTGCATGTACAGACAAGCAGGCACAAACACATACATATAAATAAGAATATAGTTTTGTAAAGATGAAGGGGAAAATTAAAGTATATTTTTTTAGTTAAAAATTTTCAAAAGGCAAGATGTGAAAGAGTTACAAAAAAAAAAAAAGGATAAATGCTGAGGTGTACTCCACATACCAGAGGCTGGATATCAAGGGACCTTTATTAGAGATAACAGAATGTAGTCAGAAGGAAGAGGCTGAGCATGAAAGGAAACAAAACCCACGAACAGCAGGAAGTAAACAGAGAAAGTACGGTGGGTAGATGCCACCAAGCTGTAGTGTATCTCTCTTTGCCTACGCCATTACTCCGCCACTGAATCAAAGAGAACACGGATTGGAACAAAACACCCAGGTGGAGAGGTTCTTATGGCAGCCAAGACGGACTATTCAAATACAGGTTTCAGGTGTTTCTTCCACTTAAGTAGAATATTACATTTGTTACGTTTCTCTGCCAGTGGCAAACAGAAACAAGCAAGTCAAAAGCAAAGAGATCTCTAAAAATGGTGTGCCTCTAACACTACCCAATTAGCTGGTGATGAAGGACACATAACCAAGCAACAAATAAAAACCAAAAAAGCACAGTATAGCCGACCCCTTATAGATTTCAAATGCTAAAAACCTTAATAAAGAGTCCCCCCCACCTTTTTTTAAAAATCTTTTTATGGAGATTTGCTTTGTATTGTTCTTTTTGGGTTTTTTTCGAGATAGGGTTTCTCTGTGTAGCCTTGATTGTCCTGGACTTACTTTGTAGACCAGGCTGGCCTCGAAATCACAGCGATCTGCCTGCCTCTGCCTCCCCAAGCACTGGGATTAAAGGCGTGCGTCACCACACCTGGTTTATGGAGATTTTTTTTAAAGAGGTAATATGGATGAAATTGTGTTTCATTTAAACATAAAAAGTTGGAATTCTGTCTTTTTAAACGATACTGTTATCTGCGTGTGTGCATCATGGAACTTGCAGAGACTGGTCCTCTCCTCCCACCATGTGGGTCCTGGAGCCCTGGTAGACTTCCAAGTCATAGACCCCTCCCCAACACACATAATTTCAAAACTTCATTAAAACCCACAGCTTCATTTTCATTTCTCTGAAACATGGCTCCTGACCCCAAGTGTGTCTCTGTCATGACAGCATTAGCACAGTGGAGAAAAAGAATAGCTTAAAACTAGGCTCTACATTTAGATAATACCCCACTGTCTTCTGTAAATACCTTCTGTAAAGGGGAAGAGCCACCTATGCTGATGACTGAATAAGTAAAAACCACAAGCAGCAAAATTAAACAGTTACAAATTTCATCTTCTCTGACTTGACATAATCTCCCTCTTATAGTATTTACTGAATAGTAACTGCAGAAATGGTGACCTGCAGAAAAGTGAAAACAAACAAACAAACCAGAAACAAAAAGCAAGTAACAGCAACAAAAGGAAAAATGACTGGGATGGGATAGGACGGGCTAGAAGATGGGGCTATCAATGCCTGACTATTTTGGAACAGCTGGATCACAGTAAACACCACCTGGTAACAAATGGGGTTGGTAAAGGGTTAAAACTCATCGAGCCCAGTAAAAGCAATTAAACGTATTTTCTAACTAAAAACATCATCATCTCCAATCACATTTTGACTAATATGGAAAGCATTTTTAAAGGATTTTTTAAAATGTCAGTATCATTATTCTGAACTTCAGTTTTCTCACTTTAAAAACACTAACAAGAAGCGAAGTCAACTTGTCCATCTGAACAGAAGGTGGCACAGCTCATGTATTTGAGCCAACTGCTACAATATAGCCTCATCCAAATCTCTATAAACATTCACTCACTTAAAATTGTTCAAACATACTAATTTGAAAATAAAAACTTTCAAAATAATATGAAAATACTTACATCTCAATTTGTCCAGCATTTTTCCACCACACATGGTTGCTAACATAGCTTTAACTGAAAATACGGTCAACTTGCCTCGGCCCTCACTGCAAAATAAATATTAGAAATAATTGCTATCTGAAACCACAAAAGCAATCAAACATATCTCTAAATACTGAGCAACTAATAAACTGGTCTCTGCCTTTACATGCTTTAATTTTACCACATTTATAAGCTCTGATTTTCATCCTTTGAATAAGTTTGTCTTCGGCAGAGACAGCGAAAGCTAATGAGTAATCAGACAGTAAATTTTACGAACAGCTTGCAATCTCTGTTAGTTCTGCAGGAAGAAACAAAATGGATGAACGTGAATCAACTTTCTTATTAACAAAACATTAAATCCATAGCTGGAGTGGTATTAAGTGGTCAAAATTGAAAGAGCACCCAGTTTGAATATAATTTAAAAATACGCCCAACATCAGGACAACAGCAGTTTATTATTACACACTGAACACCAGGTGCACACTGCTATGAAGACTTTATAGCATGCTCATCTTTGTTCTTCTTGTAACAGTCTTTATGTAACGATGCTATTTATTCTGAGAAGCCTACTCATGTCTGTCTCACACCTTCGCACACCACTGTGAGAGAGCGAAACGGAAGGGTGAGGCTAGCTGTTTGGGACTGGAAAGATGAAAAGAGCATGATGGATGCTGTGCAAGTTGGGGCAACATCAACAGAGTGTCATCCTTGTAGTCGTTCCTGCTTTCACTGCGGACAAAAACAAAACAAAACGAAAACTGCACTAGCTGGTTAAAGTCAGCATAAATAGTTTAACAGTGGGTCTTTGCAGTATTCTTAGAAAGACTGTGATCAAGAAGGTTTACAGTAACTTAGAGCAAAACAACTTGGCAGGGAAGAGAATTACCATGCTGGTTATGAAAAAGTAAATACCCCATTGTATTCACAGAATCCAGAAAATGTTTCCCAGGTTGGGGGTACAATTTGGCATAGAACAAGTGCCTAGAATACATGAGACCCTAAATTCAATCTGCAGTCCTGGAAAAACTAAAGAAAACACAGTGCTTTCCCCCCCTCCCTTGTATATGAAAAGATCACATCTGAAAAGAACATCTATAGCCATTTTTATTACAGCTGAGTTTTTAACTATGACATGATTTTATTCATAAAACATAAGCCCTATAACTAAAACAAAAAAGGAGGTTTTTTGTTTTTTTTTTACAAATAAATAATTCTTCAGCAATAGACAATGTTCTATATATGAGGCAATTTGGGTCTAAAATGATGAGAAATTTTCCTCTGTCAGCCATTCCATTATACAAGAAACGTCAGCATCTAAAGTATCATTAGTTGAGTTTAAAAAGTGTAATGTTTTTTAAAAGAATTTAGATGAGGTCTTCTTATCCCTCAGTGACTTGGAACCCGTTATGATGCCCTGGCTGGCTGTAAAGTCAGAGCAATCCTCCTAGCTCAGCCTCCCAAATGTTGGAATTGAAAGCATGCACAACCACACCCAACACAAAAGCATGGACTCTTCAGAAGGATCAAAGTCATCCATGGATGAGAGTAGCACAAGAACTAGTGTCGACCTAAGGATTACGCACAGGGGTGCCGAGGAGGGCAGTGCAGCCTAGAGCAAAAGCACAGGCCTTGAGAGAGAATGCCCCCCATCCCATACCTGTCACACTACAGACCTCAAAGTGACTATTAACAATAGTCTTAAGGGATGGAAAAGGAATTATTATAAGTCTTCACGTGTCTGACCTTATCTAGACAGAACAAGCAGGAGAGCTGGTGTAAAAATGCAATCATTTCTTTATGTCACTGGATCCTTAACAAAAGAGCCAAGAACACAAGGAGGATGGGAAAAGAGGTGGGGGAAGGTGAGAAAAACTGTTCCATTCTTGGCCAGGCGGTGGTGGTAGTGCATGCCTTTAATCTCAGTACTCTGGAGACAACAGAGAGGAGGATCTCTGTGAGTTCAAGTCCAGCCTGGTCTACAAAGCTAGTTCCAGGAATGGCAAGGCTACACAAAGAAACTCTGTCTCAAAAAACCAAAACCAACCAACCAAACAAACAAACAAAAAACAAAACAGATCCATTCTTTCCCCACAGAATTCCCGAATTCAAGAACCCTAGAGCGATTGCTAAAGACAACACCAACATATCTTATTGAACACGAGGAAGTCAAGCTGGAGCCTAGCTGGAGCCTTCGCCTCTACTGACTTGTTCATAGTACCTGAAGGTATCCTACACACTACTGAAGGGGAGAGCTAAACACCAACCCTGCTACAAAATCTTCCATCTACAAACGTGACCTGCCCACAAGTTACGATGGTGCAATGGTGCGGCACAACAGTTGTGGGAGTGACCAGCCATTGTCCAATTGCATTTGAGGCCCAGCAATGCTCACATGGCCAGAAACCTGAGCCTAGACAGGGCCTGGGCATAGGGGAAAACCAAATATTACTAGAACATAGCATAAGGAACAGAGCAATAAAAAGTCTCCTAACAGCATTCTGCTGTACCCATAAATCAGAGTCTCGCTCAGAGCCAGCAGCAGAGAACCTTCCTCCTGAAAGAAACAGAAACAATACAGAGACCCACAACTGGACAAAGAGCAGAGAGTGAGGGACCTTCCCTTCTCCTCAGGGCTCAGGGAACTACGTGGAAGAGGGAACGGATGTATGAGCCAAAGGGAGGGGAAGACACTAAAGAAACAGTGCCTTCCAGATTCAACAGGATTGACACACTTATGAACTCACAGACCACAGCAGCATGCACAGGTGCAAGCCAGATGTCCTGGCTCTGAGAGCGGAAGTGGACACGAGCCGCCATGCTTCATCCAAAAGCTAGCTCTAACTGACAACTACCTGCAAAAGAAAAACGAGTTTTCCCCAAGGGAGTCTTAGGGTATGGAACCACACTTAAGAGAGGCCCCATGCACAGCAGGAGATGGCCACACAAAGCGAACCCAGCAGTACTTTTGGAGATATTTTGTCTCATAATGCTTCATCTGGTCACTTTTACCATACTTTTCTCTTGCGTGCCTATTATGATTTCTGGTTTTGTATTTTTATGGTGTGTGTGTGAGAGAGAGAGAGAAAGGAGACAAAGAGAATGTATTTTTTTCATGCTTTTCTTTTTTCTTTTTTTTCTGTATCTATTCATATTGTTTTATTCTTTTTTTTTTTTTTACATTGGCGTATGTGATTCCTAAAGACAGAAAAAAATACCTGAAATTGTGGTCACATATGCCTGAAACTGCAGCCATAGAGAAGATTTGGGAGCAGAGAGGGGACAGGAAGTCATGATCAGATTTTAGTGCCTGAAAAAAATTATTCTCAGTTAAAAAAAATGTAATTTAAAAAATGCTAGGGTGGGAGGGTGCACGCCTTTTACCCCAGCACTCAGGAGGCAGAGGCAGGAGGTTTGCTGTGAGTTCAAGGCCAGTCTGGTCTACAGAATGAGTTCCAGGACAGCCAGGGCTACACAGAGAAACCCTGTCTTGGAAAACAAAACAAAACAAAATTAAAAACCCATGTGTTCGAGCATGTACGCTGATTGTTACTTACTGCACATCTCCAACTGCAAAAGACCAGAACTCATCAAATGTCCATGAACAGAAGACTGACTAGGTTAGCATTAAAAGAAGAAGAAGAAAATATGTAAGAAAAAGAATTAGTTCTAAGAGCTGAGGAGACACTCAGTTAGTAGCATGAGTCCTAGGTGGCGTACATCTGTGATCTCAGTACTCGGGAGGTGGTGGAGGAGTTTAAGGACATTTAAAATAAATCCAAGAAAAACTGCTATTCAAAGCAGACAACAAAGCTAGGCGTGGTAGCACACACCTGATATTTCATCTATACAGGAGGCTTTGAAGCAGTGAGTTCGCCAGCCTGAATGTAGCAAGAATCTGTCTCAAAATAAAAATAAAGAAAGGCTAGAAATGTAACTCAATAGCAGAATACTTACCTAGTAACCTTAAACTAGTGTTAAAGGGTGGGGGGAACAATGTACAGAATAAATTAAGCAGCAGAGTTCTATCTAGCAAAGCGCTGAGGAAGGAGAAGGAACCAGAGACACAGATGAGGATCTGGCTTTGATTTCCAGCAACCCACGTGGTGGCTCACAAACATTTACAACACCAGTCCCACAGTAACTGAGGACACTGCACAGACGTGGTGCACAGACACACATGTGAGCAAAAACCCATGCACATAAAATAAACCTCAAAAAAAGAAAAACTGTATTTCCACATATGTGCTTTACTTGCAAAAATAATTTGTAGAAAGATATTGAGAACAACTGCTTGACCTCACAACTGGAAGAGGCAAACAGCCTTAAGGGAAAAAGAGGTTGATCACTTCATATTGGAAAAAACTTCCCAAGCAACCAATTCCTGAGCACAGGAAAACAAACAAAAACAAACAAACCCAGTACACTAAACTGCAAACAAGATAATAGAAAATGAATATAAATAAAAGCAAAAAACGATGAAACTAGAAATAAAAACACGGAGAAAAAAAAATCAAGAAAAGCAAAAAGCTAGTGTCGGGGAGATCATTAATTATACCAATAAATCTCTGGCAAAACTATGAAGAAAAAATAGATATAAATTACCAAATTAAAAATGAAATGGGGCAGGGGGAAGCTAGTCAGATGGCTCAGAGGTTAAGAATACTGGCTGCTCTTCCAAAGGAACTGAGTTCAATTCCCAGCAAACACATAGTGGCTCATAACCATCGATAATGAGATCTGGTGCCCTCCTCTGGTGTGCAGGCACACATGCAGGCAGAATACTGTATAAATAATAAATACATAAATCTAAAAGAAAAAAAGAATGAAGCAGTGGCGCACCCCTGTAATCCCAGTGCTCCTGGAGGCAGAGGCAGATGGATCTCTGTGAGATTGAGGCCAGCCTGGTCTACAGCGTGAGTCCAGGATAGCCAGGGCTACACAGAGAAACCCTGTCTCTAAAAAAAAAATAAAAAGCAAAAGAGGCTAGTGTGATGGCAGTTTCTGTAACCCCAGGTGGAGACATGAGGATCAATTTGATTTTGATACCATCTACCTAATAGACTGA